TTTTTTTTTTTTTTTTTTTGTAAAGGTGGAATATCTGACAGTGCTTGGCCAGTCTTCAGGGTGAAAATCTCTCAGGGCTCACCTTTCCACGGGGACGGTGCCTGCCAGGTCCCTGCTTCCCCAACATCCCCCTTAGACCTGGCCTCATTGCCTGCCTGCACTGCGGATATTTGAAGTTGTCTCTGAGCATCCATTTTCTGGCTGTTTTGCCTTTCTTATCTGTTACCTTCTGATTCAGCAGTCGTTGAACTGGTAACAGTTGTAGAAATGAGTAAAGAATTAGGAGTGGGAGCTGCTGAGACTTTTTTGTTTAAGGCCCTACAATGCTATACAATGTCTCCGTCCATGACTAAGGTGCATTTACCTGTGGCCAACTGCAATCTGAAAATACTAAGGGGAAAACTCCAGGAGGAACTAAGTTTTACTGCACACCATTCTGATGAGCATGACAAAAGTTCATACCATCTCAGTCCATCCCACATGGTAGGATGTGACTCGTCCTTTACCCACCGTGTCCATGCTGTATACCCTGCCTGCCTGCCAGTCAGTTAGGTTTCTCAGCTACTGGGCCCACTGTCGTGGTTTCCAAGTGCAAGCAGTCTTTAATGTATTTAATGATGGACACAAACACAGGAGTAGTGATGCTGGCAACTGGACATACCAAAGAGAAGCTGTGAAGTGCTGCCTGAAGAGAGAAGGTGAAAGGTGCTGACTTAAGGAAAGAAAACAAATCCTGTGCCAAGGTTGTCAAGAGCCACAGTGAGAACCAAAGAGCAGACACAGGGTTTGGTATTTCTGTGCTTTCAGGCATCCACTCAGGGCTCGAAACATATTCCCCATGGTGGAGGGAAAGGGGTACTAATATTAAAGTGTAGTCCCCCAAGAAACTTGCTTGAATTTAAAACAAGCCAGGTTTGATGTCATGTGCCTTGTAATCCCAGCACCCTGGGAGGCTGAGGCAGGAGGATCGCAAATTTGAGTCCAGCTTGGGCAATGTGGCAAGACCCTATCTCAAAACTTTCAATTTTCTTGAAAGGATGGGAAATGTAGTTCAGTTGGGAAGGTTCTAGGTTCAACTCCCAATGCCAAGAAAAAAGAAACTCTGACAAGTTGTCATTCCGTAGTATATTTCCTTACCACAAAATATGGCTTAATATAACATGCTTAATATAACGTTATTTTCTCCCTCTGAGGGTCTATGAAACATTTTTATGACAGTAAACATTACAATCTTGATGACTGGAACCAATGTAAGTGCCTGACCAGTAAGTTCTGACATCTCTCTATATCCATAAGCTTGAGTGTTCCATGGTTGCAGTCCCAAGTTCATCTCAGAAGTTAGCGGAAAGGGATTCATTTGCATTCCTTTGTATTTGCATTAGAACTTCCAGGCCTGGCTGTCCTTAATTAATAAAACTTGTTCTCCTGCAACATCCATAAAGTCTCTGCTCTGCTGCCTCCTCCCCTGACGCTTTCGGCTGGGGTACTGGAGCTCCGTGAACTGACGCAGCCACATCTCTGCTCCCTCCCTGAGCCTTTCCTGGGTGTGGGGAAGAGCTCCGGAGCAGCGGGGGCGCTGTGCTCAGCGCGCTCCTCCTTGAGGTCCCCACCCCGCCTCCGCAGCCAACGGTTGGGACGCGCTCGGCCCACGCCCCCACCCCTGTTTTGACAGAAAGGTTGAAGGCGCATAGTAACACACCTCTAGGCTGGGGCCTGACGCAGGACCGGGGGAGAGAGGGGCCGAGAATAAACCAAGCCCCGCCACCCACACCACAACCTCATTCTTCATCCACTCCGCACTCACTGCGGGAAGCCCTGGGAAGGACCACTTTAAAAAATGATCAAGAGGTCCTGCACAGAAGGCTGTCACCACGACAGCTCCAGCTCCCTTACAGAACCATCAGGTAACTCAAGGGCTCCTTGTGACACCCGGGGCATCTCACGATCCACACCTTCGAGCCTCTATGGTACCAAACACACAGGCGGAAAACTAAAATGATGTTTACTCTACAGGTCGGAGCACACGGTGACAGGATGAATTCTCACCAGCCCAAAGGCTCAGGCAGCAGTGGACCCACCTCTGGGGATAACCAAGATCCTGCGAGGCAGGAACCCGAGCTGTTCTACCTGAAGCGCTCTCCTGGAATGGGTCATGCACTGCTGCAAAAGCAGAGTATTCTGTTCTCCAATTTGGAAAATAAAGCCGCCCTCAGCACTGCACTTCTGTGCTACAGAAACTATAGTTGTACAGGTTATGCTTTGCCACTGAGCCCTGGATACAGATTTGAAAAGGTCTCTGAGAAAGAATGTGTGCGTAAATGATAATAACAGCTCCCACGAAGCTGGTGCCAGCTGATGGGTTTATATCCATGACCTCATTTAATCTGCTAAGCAACCCTATTGTACACTCACTGCTAAATTCAGCTCACTGATGATGAAAACCCAAGTTCAGAGTGCCACGGCAGCTGCTATTAAGCCACAACGCCACCATTTCAACCGCTGCGTGTCCTCGGGCCACTTAGTGCTTTACCATTACCAGTGCAAATTCAACCTTCCGTGAGTCCTTGATCTTAGCAGTTCACAAAGTAAAACCTTAAACATTCAGAACCTCCAATCACTACACGTCAGACAGAGGGAACTCAGACTTTAGCACACCTAAATAACTTAATAGGAAGGATGCAGTTCAAAACTTACAAGCAAGTCAAAAAGAGTGTCATAGTCGAATGTAGTTATTAGCCTGGTGCCTGTACAAGGTGTGATTAAAAAATATGATGAGTGTTTAAATAAAAATTTATTACAGCAAAAGACATATTGCCATGAATTCCGCTCCAAATATTGCTGCTCCCTTCAAACACACTGGTCCCACTGTCCTCGGTACTCTCCCTAGCAGCTCTGGAGTACTCTTTCGTGAATGTCTAGTTGCACGGTCCTAGCCACCCTGATGTCCTAAAGGGTTTCGAAATGTTCCCCTTTCCTGCCTATTTTGACTTTGGGGAAGATCCAGACATCACAGGGTGCAGATCTGATGAATAAGGTGGATAAGGACACAGCAGGGTTTTTTTTTTGGTTTTCTTTTTTTTTTTTTTTTTTTTTTTTTTTTTTTTTTTGAGCCTGGCTTTCTGTTGGAATGGCACTGGGCAAAGGCATTCACCAGATTTGTATCATACCTCATAAAGACACTCATGAAAGAAGACTTCCAGGACAGCTGCAGAAAGTGGCCAGGATGGTAGGATAAGTGTTTGATGTGAGAGGGAGGATTTTGAAAGGGCCTTAAGGGAATGTGTCTTTTACTGTAATGATCTTTTTAATTTAAATATTCTCCATAGATTTGGATCCCCCCTCACATATATTTTATATTCCTTCAGCAAGGCTGTTCGATAAGAAATGAGGTTCACAATAAAAACTCAGGCATACCACAGAATCATCAAGAGAGAAAAACACTTGTGCATACCGTAATACTGGAGAAAGTTTTTCAACCACACAAGTTGGAGAAAAGTGTTTTCTACGTAGATTTTCGTTAGCTAGAGCACTGACACCAACTCTGATGTCCCTCTTCCCCTTTGTCCCCCAGTGTAGCAATGATCGGTTATGATAATGGAGTCCTTTTTCCTCCAGGGACACTCATCAATGACCAGATTGAGGATATTAGTTAGCAAATCCTATTTACTCTGTTCTTTGAACCTTTGTTTTTCATAGAAAGCCAATTAATTAGCAGCAAATACGTAGGCACTTAAATGCCAGTGATAGTTTAGTAATGCTGTTATTTATTCCAATTATTGGAAAATAACTTCTAATACAGTCACCCAAGATTTATCCCTAAATTTATGCAAAGAACTTTATTTTTCCATATTGGCTTATTAAACTGTGGGCATACTTGGACACTTTGTTCTTATTATTACTCTCAGCCTTCCAGAAAAACAGAGACAGGTTAAACCAAAATCGGCATTTGTTGTCTTACCTGCTGGTTATCAAGGTTCATCAGTGTGAGGCTGCCTGTCGAGATGGTCAGTTTTATATTCATTCCAGAAAACTGAAGATTACTTTTGCCAAGAACAGCTGAGAGGGACTTAAGGGGAGCCTTTTAAAATAACAAAACAACACTGAGAGTTAGGGATGCTGTTACAGACAGGCACTATCTTTTGAATGTCTCAAAATGGATCTTCCTCTCTATTTTGCTTTACACAAATCAAGCGAGATGGATTGCTTTTTTGTTAAAGACTTAAAAAAAAAATTGGAGTGCAGCAAATTCTTTAGTAAAGGAAATCCGAGGCCTGGAGAGTTTTTTCCTACTTCCCTTCTCCCTAAATGTTTTGTATCAGCAAATTCCTGGGAGAGTTCAGAGCAACAGGGCTGGAGTCCTTCTCAGTCCACACAGAAATAAAGAAGGAGGTGACACTACTGGACTCCCACCACCTGGGCCTTCGGAGGACCTGTGCTTGAAATCCCACCTCCGGCCACTCTTTCTGGGCCTGACCACTGTTTCCAAACAGTCCTTCCTGTTAAAATGAGCAAATATTACTAAGGCTCCATTCTCCAGTAACTCGCTAATAAAATGATTTACCAGAGTTCACTAACAGACATGTAGAAGAAGATCCAGAGGAAAGCGAAGCGATACGTTTTGATAAAAGTTGGAATTCTTTTTCTTGCTGTTGTTGTTTTTGTTTTGATTTTTGTTTTTTGAGACAGGGTCTCAACTATGTAGTCGAGGCCCTGAACTCACAACGTGGCCCGAGCTGGCCCACAAGTGCAGCGAACCTCCTGCCACGGTGCTGGGTGCTGGAACTATAGGCGTGCACCACCATGCCAGGCTAAAACTTGAAATTCCTGGCATCTCCCAGGAAGAGTAGAGAACGCTTGGGTATCATAAAGGCCAGAAGGACAAATGCACAGGCGAGAGGTGACAGTGGGGTGGCCAGGCCCTTCAAACAGACGCTTCACTTGGCAGCTGTGTGACCGTGGACAAACAACCTTTTAAGCCTCAACTGCCCTTTCTATTAAATGTCGGAGAGGAGAGAAGCTACTTCATAAGAGCTGTTGTGAAGATTAAATCAGATGATAAATGGAATGCATTTAATGTAGTACTTGGCTGGAGGTATGAGAGCTGCTATTCTTTATTATTATTATTACCATTACCATTATTATTATTCACTGCTGCTCTTATTGTTGTTATCTTTTCCAACTCTAAGGTTTTAAGAGACACTTTGAGAGATTTAAATATTGCCATGGATGTTGGATTTAGTCTTGCATCTTTGGCTGGGAAGTAGGCCAAACTGAGGATAGAAAATTAGTGATTGGTCCAAAAAAAAAGAGAGAGAGATCAATAATTTCAGGCAATCAATGGAAACACAATTCATTCCTTTCACAGCCTTGCTCATGTATTTACTCTTATTTGATCCCTTCTGGAACCACAGCAGGAAATTCAGTGCAGAAGTTTTTGTTTCCCGTTCCAAGCACACTCTGAAATGTAGCTTCTAGGGCATCCAGACATCATTGATGTCACTTCATCGCCAAGCTGACTCTCGGTCCTCTTTCTTTGCCTTCGTCTTCACCACATTCATACCGTTTAAGGATTTTTTTGTTCTCTAAAATGATGGTGTTTCACAGCAAATCATTCATTTGCTTCTATACAGTTCTTTCCATGCTAGTTTTTAAAAAGTTATTACTAAAAACTAATTAGATAACAATACTATCTCACACTTGACAAGCACTTTGTCACTTGTAAAGAATGTTTACATACATCAGCTTAACTTTGTCCTCAAAATAACCTTAACCTTGTAAGACACGCTCAAAGTGCATGCATGGTACAGGGGAGACAAAGTGTTTCATTGTTAGTGGAAATGACCTGAGTTCAAATAAGCCCTAGGACAGAGCGTGTGGTTCTCTGGCAGGCGTGGAAGGCGGGACTGGCACACAGGACTGGCAGTGAGGCAGGCCAGCTTCAGGCAGCCAGGTGACCCGGGATTGCAGGTGATCCGCTAGCCAGCTGAGGGTCCCCAGGGAACTCCCTGATGCCCTCTTGGTGTCTCAGTTTACACGGCAGGAACAACATCACCACCACCCCTTCTGCCTGCACCTGAGCTGGGCCTGGGAAGAGTCCAGCTCAGTAGTAAAGTACAGAGAAATGAGAGGATTCGGGGATGACCTAACAAACTGTGCTGATTGTTATGACTGCATCTTAAATGGAGAAGGAGGGGAGGAACTGTGGGGCTCTGGCCTGGGGGCAGGTCACTGTTGGAGCGGGAGGAGACGGGAACAGAAAGGAGAGAGAGAGGGTGCAGTGCTTCTCAACTGTTACAGAAAAGCAGAGGCCAGCTGGGAGGGGTGCTTATCACCATTTCACAAATGGGAAACTACTAATATAAGGAAGGCATTTGGTGACATTCACGAACTAAGCTATTGGTATCGGCACAGTGGAGCGGCTCTTCTGGTTCACACAGCCTCTCAAGAACCTCCAGTCTTTTTTTTCAGTAATTTTTGGCTCCCTGCTCTAGGGAGAGATGCAAGGAGGGAGAGGTGGAGAAAATCATGGGTAAGAAGCAAAGAGCATCATGGTTAAAAACGAAATAGCAACATGGGTAAGAGTGTGGATCCTGCAGGCTGGCTGCCTGGGCTTGACCCTCTTCACATGGACTGGGTCACTGGGCAGGTTCCTTAACCTCTGTAGGCCCCAGTTTCCTGACCTGTAAAATGGTGATAAGTAATAGGACCTTTTCAGGTTTTTTTAAATGTATTTTTTTATTGAGATAAGGTCTTGTTGTGCTACTCAGATTGGCCTCAAGCTCATGACCCTCCTACCTCAGCCTCCCAAGTAGCTGAGGTTACAGGTGTGAGCCCCCATGCCTAGCTATCGATAGGGTTTGTTTGTTGTTTGCCATAATTAACAAAGTATTAAAAAGCATATTACCCAACTTTATGGGACACAGTAAAAGCAGTGCTGAGAAGGAAATTATAGCTATAATATAGCTTATGTGAAAAGAGAAGAAAGATTTCAAGTAAAAATAAAAACCTAACTTTACAATGTAAGGGACTAGGAAAAGAAATTAAATCCAAAGCTGGCAGGATGAAGGAAAACAAATTAAATCCAAAGCTGGAAGAATGCAGGAAATAATAAAGATTAGAGATCGAAGACTAGACAAATAATACTACTGACCTGTATTCTTACAAGTAACAATGATTAAGATGACAGCTTTATGTGATAAGTTTGTTGTGTGTAGTTTTTTTTTCACTGTAGCAAAAAATAAAAAATAAAAAAAAAGGGAAAAAAGAGAATAAAAAATTGCAAAGTACTGGGAAGAGTCCCTGGGGCTACTGATATATACCGTATATGTTTTAAATTTTTTAAAGTATTACAACAAAAGACACATTGCTATGAATTCCCTTCAAAATGCTCCCCCTCACTTTAAACACATTTGTTCCATCCTTCTGGCCAGTTCCTGAAGCAGCTCTGGCATCCTCTTTCCTGAGGGTCTTTCAGAGGTCTGACCAAAAACATAAATGCTGCTGCCCAGCGCCATCCGATGGAAAGGCAGGCTCTAAAAACACGAATCTGGGTTCTCATCCACCTCACTCACCAGATCTCACACTGCAACTCCCGGCTCTTCCTCAAAGCCAAAACGATCATGAAAAGGAAACATTTTGAAATGATTCAAGATATGGAGGCAGCCACAGCAGCATAGTTACAGACGCTCAAGAAAGAGGACTCCAGAGCTGCTCCGGAAGTGGCAAGCATGAGGGGATAAGTGTGTTTGAATCAAGGAGTAAGGAGGAGTATTCTGAGGGGGATTCATGGCAATGTGTCTTCTACTGCAATATACTTTTAAAAACTTAAATATTCGCTGTATTGTTCAATTACTCCTCATGTGAAGTACTCAAAAAATACTTAGCAGACAAAGGAAATGAACTTGAAAATGTCTGTTTTTCTTCATAGGTATACTTTCTGGAAAGATGATAGCCAGGTTTGTTTTGTTTTATTTTGGGGTTTGGAATCCCTACTCCTGAAATAAGAAGGTCTTAAAAAAAATGAGTCTGTTAGGATCATCCAGTTGAAGCGTCTTATTCACAGAGATGAAGAGGAGCAGGAGGAGTCATTGTTCAGATGCTGCTCTGGGGCCCTGAGTTCCATCAAAGAAACCAGTAATAGGGAATCCTTAACAGAATCCCAGGGGCATTCATCAGAGTTCTCCATCCCCAATGGCTCCTCTGAGTCACAGTGGGTGACACTGGGTTCAGTCCTATGTAAATGATGAGGAAGAGCGGTAACAGAAATTGAGGCAGGTGACACGGAAATAAAGCCCTAAGCTATGAATCAGGAGTTTTGGCTTTTCCTGGTGATCAGCTCTTCTCTCAGACCAGTTTAGTAGCTGGCATTAGGAAAGGGGTAGACCAGAAGCTCTCCCATGATGTCTTTCTTCTTGAACTGTCCTCAACTTTATGATTTATGTACTTACCTTGAGAAACTTTTGCCTTTATAATGTTGGGTTAATAGCTTCATAGCAACAGTAACTACCTACCATAACATAGAAAGAAGAAGGTCAAATATATGCATATGCGACACACCGTTCTAGGCTTTATGGGCATCATTTCACCTCATTCTTACATAACCCTCTACAGAAAGTGCTATTCTGTCCCATTTTGCAGATGAAGAAATCAAGGATCCAAGCAAATAAGTAACTTGTCCAATATCAGGCAGTTCTTGGGTAGAGAGGTGGGATTTCAGTCCAAGTATATCTAGCATCAAAACTTTTGCTTTCGTTCATTGTGAACAGCTGCTTCCCCACGGGTGTTACCACCTCACCTCTATGCCTGTTCACATCTGAAAATAGCCAGAAAGTCTAAAAAGTCAAAAGTGTTAAAATGTAAACCACACACATTTATATAATACTGAAACCAGAAGACACCAAACTGGCCATCTGGTTGACCTCCCTAACCTCTTAGAATAAGAACAGTATCTCAGGGAGACAGGGGCACCGCTACATCACACAGTGCTGGTCAGCTGGCAGGATGTGAGGGACAAGAGCACCTCTGGGTGCAGCTCTGACATCACAGCACCTAAGAAAGGCCAGGCAGGACCTGGCATCACAGGATGCGATGAGATAACAACTATTTTGATACTATCTGCGCCATAGTTGGGAAAACGAAAACCAAGAAAACCACATCCACACTTACCTTTCGCTTTTTAAGGGCTCCACTGGCCCCAGGGACAGCTTCACACAGGCGGCTTATCGCTTCCCTACAGAATAGAAACGGTAGAAAGACTCAGCGTATTTCCTACTTGAACTCCAAGTGTTCGAGTAATGCTAGAAGTGATTATGACCAAAGTGTATCAGGCAGGAGATGAGACTGACATACTGGACCTTCCTTCTCTCTGCCCCAGAGCAGAAAGCACGCTCTTTAGTCTTTTGTGGTACAAACCCAGGAAGATGTAGCAACATCCTAACACCAAAAAACTTTTACAACACAGACTCCCACTATTCACTTTATTCTTCTCTCTTCCCTCCTGAGATTTTCTTTTGGGGAGGGCGGTTTGAGACAGGGTCTCACTACGTAGTTGAGACTGACCTGGAACTCACTATGTAGCCCAGGCTGGTCTCGAACTCACAGCGATCCTCCTGCCTCGGCCTCCCAAGTGCTGGGATTACAGGCATGCTCCACCATGGCTGACCTTAGATTTTTCTGATTTTTAAAATGGCATTGGATTTCTTGATAGCAGCCATTCTTTGTGGGGTGAGGTGGAATCTCAGTGTTGTTTTCATCTGCATCTCTCGAATGACCAGTGATGTGGAACATTTTTTCATATATTTTCTTGCTGCTTTTACTTCTTTGTGTGAGAAATGTCTGTTCATTTCGGATGCCCATTTTTGGATCGGGTCTTTATATTTGGGGGGACTGATTGTTTTGAGTTCTTTATATATCCTTGATAATAGTCCTTTGTCTGAGGTACAGCTGGTAAAAATTTTTTCCCACATTGTAGATTGTCTCTTAGTTCTGCTAATGGTTTCTTTTGA